AAACATTCCTACAAATCTTACTGCAGCAGCCCTTAAAACATGCGTGACACTTTCGGCGCCACGGAGTGATAACTCACGGTAATAAAAGTCGCCGCCGCGGCCCGCCTAGCGTCGCGGACCTTCCCCTCCCCCGCACCACGGTTAGGGCCGCCGCGTAGGGCCCATACGGTAAGGATCGCCGTACCCCCTCCCCGCGGTTAGGGTCACCGCCGTACCTCCCCCCCTCCCCCGCGGTTAGGTCCGCCCGGTTCCCCCTCCCCCGCGGTTAGGTCCGCCATACCCTCCTCGAAAGCGGTAATTATCATTGTCACATCGATCGCGACTTACAAGACCTTTTAACACGTTTTTGGAGACAGGAAGAGATACCGAATTCGACCGCGAAATCACTGAGCCCTGCTGATGCTGACTGCGAAGATCAGTTTAGTTCCACCGTTTCGCGAGATCAGAACGGTCGATATTTAGTTCGTCTTCCTTTGAAATCCCCGGCTACCTTATTAGGCGATTCATTCAAATCGCTCTCCGATGCTTGGCGCGACTTCGTAAACGAATTGAAAGGGAACCATCCTTACGCAAGCTATATACAGACTTTCTGCTAGAGTATCAATCGCTAGGCCATATGGTACCGGTACCAGAATCTGAGATTAACGACTCTCCCATCTTTTATCTGCCTCATCACGGTGTCCTACGCGATAGTAGTCAAACAACCAAACTACGCGTCGTATTTAACGGGTCGAGTTCGTCAACGAGTGGAGTGTCCCTCAACGACATTTTGCACGCGGGAGTCAAATTACAGACAGACATCCTTGATGTATTGCTATGGTTTCGGTCACATAAAATCGTCTTTTCATCCGACATAACGAAAATGTATCGACAGATAGTGGTCCACCCAAGTGATCGAAATCTGCAACGCATCTTCTGGTACGACTCGAATGAGCAATTACGGCCATACCAATTAACTACTGTGACCTACGGGTTGAATTGTGCTCCCTTTTTGGCTCTTCGTGTACTTCAACAACTTATCTCGGACGAAGGTCATCGGTTTCCGAAAGCCATACCATCGTTAACCAAGGGGAGGTACGTTGACGACATTTTTGGCGGAGCCGAATCACTAGATGAAGCGAAAGCAATAATGTCTCAGCTATGTCAACTCTGCATGGCGGGCGGCTTTCCTTTACAAAAGTGGAACAGCAATTCGCCAGAGTTGCTGAGTCACTTATCATTGCCGTCCAATAACAACGCGTCTACTGTGGAGTTGGACTCCTAGCTCTCAAATTAAAGTCCTCGGTTTGTGTTGGCACCCGCCATCAGACGTATTCAAATTCAAACCAGTTTTATCGTCCGCTCGAATTATCACGAAAAGATCCGTTCTCTCCGAAATAGCGCAGCTCTATGACCCCTTGGGCCTTATCGCCCCGGTTGTGATTCGAGCGAAGATATTCATTCAAAATCTCTGGCTAATTAAAGTAGGGTGGGACACTCCCTTGCCAATCGAATTACAAAATCAATGGATCACTTTCCAAGAACAACTACCCGCGTTAAACAATGTTAGCATTCCGCGATGGCTTTCGATTTCTTCAACCGCACGTTCCGTGGAGCTCCACGGATTCTCCGATGCCTCCCAGCTTGCCATGGCGGCGGTAATTTATACTAGAGTCGAAACGCAGGATCGCGGAATTCAGGTTAACATCATCGCGGCCTAAACAAAAGTGGCGCCTCTAAAGAAACTCACTATACCCCGACTTGAATTGAACGCGACTCTAATGCTTGCGCGACTGAGCGAAAAGGTGCAAGACGTCCTCAATCTCAGAGAGTCTCCGATTATTCTCTGGGCAGATTCGTCGGTAGCTCTTACCTGGGTCTCTTCCCACCCGGCAAAGTGGAAGAATTACGTTCGCAATCGGGTGACAGCCGTCCAAGAACTGCTGCCCACCGCCACCTGGCGCTTCGTGCCAGGGAAGGAAAATCCCGCAGATTGCGCAACAAGAGGACTAAGCGCGCAGGAGATTGAAAACCATTCACTCTGGTGGCGCGGGCCACCGTGGTTAAGTCAAACAACTACCGAATGGCCGAAATGGAGTGAGAGGAAATCATCTAACGTCGACATGGAGGAGAAGCCGAATCACGCTCTAACCTCTCGTTGCGATGATCAAGAACCTCCCTGGGATCTCTTAACGAAATACTCATCGCTCACAACACTATTACGAGTGACTGCGACTTGCAAGCGCGCCGTTAGGCGTTTTAGGCAACTTCCAGCAGAATCGATTTCAGAGCATCTTACTCCGGCTGAACTGCACGAGAGCTCTCTATTTTGGGCCTTCCACGTTCAGCAGTACTATTTTCAACACGAACGGAGAGTCATAGCGAAGGGAGGACGCTTATCAAAATCAAGCCCTATCTTAAAACTCACTCCATTCCTGGATGAGTCCGGACTCATGAGAGTGGGCGGGCGACTTCAAAACTCACAATTACCAGCCGACGTGAAACACCCGATCATACTACCTCGCCAATCTCCGCTCACCTCTCTAATCATCTCGGATGCTCATAAGAGGACCTTACACGGTGGAACTCAAGTGACGCTGGCTTACGTTCGCCAAAAGTATTGGATCATCGGGGGACGAACACCAGTCCGATCCTTTATTTTAAAATGCGTCACATGTGCTCGATACCGACAAAATCGAGCTCGACAGCTGATGGGTCAGCTCCCAAAATCAAGAGTCACTCCTTCCCGTCCATTTCTGGTTTCAGGAGTTGATTATGCTGGACCCATAAGTATAAAAACTTGGCGAGGGCGGGCGGCCAAAATATACAAGGGATACCTGGCGATCTTCGTGTGCTTCTCCACCTCCGCTGTCCACATCGAAGTGGTAACAGATTAACCATCGACCAGATCTCTTCTACCAGAAATCGTCAGCCAGCGCTCTTAAGCAGTTTGACCAAGCCACAGCTATACATCTAGGTACCTTGGTCGTACCTCTGTTCCCAGATCTCTGTTCTCAATAAAACTCATTTACCAAAAGGAAACTATTGAAATTCTAACCTCCTTTGCCTGCTTCGAGACTTAAAATTTTCTTTAATACCTATCCCGAGGAATCGTTATGATTGTCGCTGCCGATCGTGTGGCCCCATCCCGAAAAGTAGCAATTCCTTCGGTTTGCCAAATAAAAATTTCCCTTGATGCCTACAAAAGGCGGATTTCGAGTGCATGAGAAGAGATTAAAGTTTCAGATCAAAAAGGCTCTTGATTCATACCAAGATCCCTTTCCCTTCTACGAACAATTAGCAAAATTGTTGAATAAAAGAAATAACTCAGCATCAGCAACTCAGCTCAACCCTTCTGGATGCTCCTACCCTTCTCTCAGTGAAATTCAAATAACCCTTAATTTTCCTCAATAGAGACATAGAGTATAGGATTACCTTGATAAGAAAGCCGACCCGGTAACAACGTAACATTAGTTAGTACGAATTCATTCTTCGTATAGTAAGCATCGCGAAATTAAAGTTTTGTGTAAAGTGGATTAAACATCTTGAGGTAGTTCTTCCGTAAAATCAGTTATGTGAGAATTGTTTCAAATTTTTACTTATATTATGTATTAATCGTAGATGTATTCTTTAGAACATTATAATAATTGAGTGCTGGTTTCTGTCTGGATAAAACTTAGAGCATATTACTTTCGTGAAACAACTACCTTAAGGTAAGCAAATTTTAATTTTTACACACTTTGATCCGACCCGCGGATTAACGTAAGCTAATCTATTATATATTTTCATAGCCTCCGCTTTCTCCAGCCCTATCGTTCCCGCATAATGAAACCTCCAAGCAATAACGTCCAGGAGGAAGGTCCCATCGATGGAATGAAATCGCAGGACCACGAGGACCGATACCACCTACTCCTGCGGAGCAGTTGTCTCACGAAAATCATCGACGGGTCAATTTACGTAGCAAGAGTTTCCCCATGGTATAAAATGTGCGAGGAGTGCTATTCCGCGAGACCGATTAGAGGGGCAAACCCATATGTCAGAAAAACGGAATACCACTCTATCACTTCACGTTTATACCAATTATCGTGGGAGGAAAAAGTGTGTTGTGTGCGGTGTAAGCGGGAATTGGTGAGCGTGAAAAGGGCGATACATTGTAGACAGTGTATCGAAAAATATTTAGAGAGCGAAGACTATTTTATAATACGAAACAACGTAAACATGAACTGCGAGATGGAAACAATAAAACGTTATTAAATAAAATACTCTTCGCTCTCTAAATATTCCTCGATACACTGTCTACAGAATATGGTTACCTAACGCTACGCAACGGTCTGTATTCTGCATTGAACTTATAGTTTAATGGTATTCTATTTCTACGATGTTTATATCGTCGATAGTGTGAGTTGGTGTGATTTTGACACCCCCATGGTATTAGTAGTATCTGCTCGACTGTAGCAACAAGCGGCACGCCGTCACGAGCTCAGCGTGTGCAATAAATAGTTAGCCACCAAAGTGACCGTGTCCGATCATTTCCTCTATCAATACGTGCGTAGCACCGGTCCTCACTTGAGGACACCAAACAACGGACAATTAGCAAAATTGTTGCATAAAAAAAATAACTCAGCATCAGCAACTCAGCTCATCCCTTCTGGATGCTCCTATCCTTCTCTCAGTGAAATTCAAATAACCCTTAATTTTCCTCAATACAAAAATATTCCTAAGGGCGATCCACGGAGGTTCGCCTATAAAATTCGTCATCTATTCGGAGACGGATTTCCAATAGAACTCCCTAAAAAATATCCTATCCTCTCTTCACCCGATACTCCATAACTCTTTACACAATCTATCTCCATCCCCGGGTAAAGTGCTTTAAGTGCATTGACCCAAGAAGGAGAACCTTTAAGACAATAATAAAATGTAACAGGATTCTACAACCCGAAGAAACTCTTGGACTCATTGGATTGTGGAACACCCAACCTCAATATAACAACTATATCATTATTGGATATCGAAGAATGTAATATACCCGTAATTCAACCACATGTACAAGAAACAAATATTCAACTGTTACAATTGCCAAAATTCGAATCAACAAAGGTCATACAATGTAAAATTTCTGTTGCTAGAACAATTTATTATTGCGGAATACATTCGCATATTTCAACCGTAACAAATGCGTAAGCAGAATACATACTTGATACAACTTTAGATCAATGTAAAAGTGTGTATAAGTCAGGAAGTCTAGTTTTAAATGTTAACAATATCATAAACGGATTGAAAGTAAATTATACAACATCGCGACCAATAACTTTAGCAGGATCCATAACAACAGATGGACAATGTATCGGAACTCAATATTCGGATCCATATGGGACTTGGCAAAATGTAGTTGTGCAAGGACTAATTACAATAAGTCTAAATTCTTATCAAGCAACTATTAACATTGAAACAAATAAAATGTATTTAAAAACAGGAACTACACTCGACAGCAAAATTAAAGGATCACTAAAATATTGCCGAAAAATTGTCGATTTTTTAAGTGCTATAACTTCGTGAAACAAAATCGTACGACAATGTTTCTGGGCTCATTTTAAAGGGCGAAGCCTCCACTTTCGCTTTCCTAAGTTGATTTTCCTCGAAGATGCTTTTACACTAGGAAGCAAGGTGGAAATTTAAAAAAGGATTCAAACTTCGAAAATTTCGCGAACTCAAACGACTCTACGGAGTTGCAAAAATTTATTTCGCGGCTCACATTAGCATAAATTTGAAGATTGAAGCCTACTCTTTAAAATGAGATGTCGAACATTGACCTACGATTTTTTTTCGCCGTTTTGTGGCATTTTGAACGTTTTTCGACAAAAGTGCTCTTGTTACGT